TTTTGCCCCCCCCCCCCCCCCCCCCACCACCACCACCAAGCTCCTACTGGACCACCAAAGCTCCTTTGTGAAAGCACAAAATTCATCGGGAATACGCGAAACGTCTTTGGAAAATCTTCGAAAAAAGGGTCCTACGTGAGAATGGCGAGAGAAAGCGGCTCCAAAATCGGTCCTATGTCAAGGGGTCGACGTGTATGAGATTTTGACAAAGCGAATGAAAATTCGAAGAATACCGATCGTCCTACCTACTCAGGACTTCACCACGGTACGCGCGTCCGCTGCATCCGGTGTGCAGGAGATGTAAAAGTATGGAAGGGTAGAAAAACAAATGATTGACCACACTGAAAGACGCGAGTATCGGTAAACGCAAATATTTATCATGGAGAGCGGTAGACGAGAGCGGTAGGCGCGTAGAAATCGAAGGTTAGAATGGAGAAAAAAAAAGAAGGACAAAGAAAAAAAAAAGCAGTCGCGACGAGTCACGGGAAAAATTGCTATCGATGACCTTCGCCTCGATATTCGCAAAAGACTTCTCTCAATCAGCTCGTAATTATTGACGCTCGACCCGTCGCCAGCGTCGATGCATTTGACATATAGATAGAAACAAGAAAAAGAAAAGTAATGCTGGTCTCTCGCGTGAAATTACAAGAGAATAACGAATTTTCAATGTCCTCCGGAAATTATGTGACGTCACAAGCCCCGTAGATTAATATCAAAGACATTACGTAAAATATGCGAGCACACGTGACACGACGTACGTACGTGATCCGTTCGCGAGAGTGACGTCACGTGACTTCCCTTTCATTAATGTCCACCCACCCTCCCCTCCGGCCCTCTGCCAATGAATATTATCCAACCATCGCCATTGCCTAATGGATTTTAAAGCAAGAAGGAGATACAAAAAAAAGAAGTACGTCAAGTAGAATAGACATTGCATGCACCATTTCTTTTTATCCCGCTCCGATTGACTCGTCGTTGCATATGGCAGCCATTTTACAAAGATACATGAAGACCCTCCTTTATGTTCCACGTGGTACACTCGGCTGAATTTCGATTTCGATAGCGACCATTTAAATTAGCACTTTACCGTAATTGATTGTATTACTGCCGTTGTTTGTTTACGTTTAATGTGCGACGGATTTTTATCGCTCTCGGGTCGAGGGAGGAGGGGTGGGTGGG